AGCACATGTGGCAGCAGGAATTCCCGCCCACAGTGCTACCTCTGCCTTCGAGAAGACTTCAAAAAAATTTGTTGAATCCTTAGATCATTAGAAGGCCAGAGGCATATCATCCAAGAGAGTAGGTGCCAAATGGACCACAGAATTCCAGATTTTAATTCAATTGTCTCGCTAGGAGCTAATCGCACTACAGGACTAGCTTTGCCAGTCACGGATTGCATAAGTCGGACGGCAAGCCGCTAGCGGTTTGGACAGAGAGAGAGAAAAAGATTGCGGAAGACTGAAACGATTGTCTTTCGGCTGGCCGGAACTAATCCTCAGACTAGATGCGAAAAACCACAACGCTGCTGGTTTAGCGAGGCCATACAACTCGGCTCTCCAGTCAATTGATGCTAAGTCTTCCAGTTCGGCTCTCAAAGACATGAAATCCCTTCTGAGGTCAGTGGACAAGGCCACGTCGGAATTTCGGAGAAACTGCCACGGAGGAGCTATGAAGCCAAAACGACCGATCGTTTGCAACTCATTCCGATAACGAGGTCATGTCAACAATCAGCAGAAGTTGGACATCATTTTGAAACGGGAACTATTTGCCTAGGTCTGGGTAAACAATAGAGTACATCGCCCCATAAGCACGTGCAGTAGCAAGGAACCGCCTCAATCGGGTAAAGAAAGCCGACAAATCTAATTCAAAGTCTACTGAAACTGATAACTCAAGGTAGGGGAGGAGCCCCCGTAATCGGCTCCTATGCCAAACCGTAAAGTCGTTTGAATGGGTAGGTGCCAGCCGATGTACGTGTCAGTGCTCCCTATCGTTTTTGGTGAGTTCGGTACTAACCAACCGAACCTGGAGAGATGGAGGACTTGGTTGGCTCGAACGTTTACTTACCTGGGACTCGATCCCGAGCGGTATAGTGGTAGACTCCATCTGATCGCTCAAGAAAAATATCACAAGAACTAATCAAGGTTATCATGGTGATAACCTAATTCAGGAAAAGGGAAGTGGAACTATGAATGACCATCACTCTGAAAGTCATGAAGGAAGCAAATGAAACCATCGAAAACCCGTATGCACGACCTACTTCCTCCCCTCTTCTAAAGGAGGGTGAACGAGTTTCCAGAGGACTTCCCAAACATGTTCTCTGACTTATACCAGTAACTGAAAGGCTAAGTCTACTGGCTCATATTTCTCAACCCACACATTTACCTTGCTATTATGGCATACCAGTGCAATACCATTCCGATTGACTGACGCTAAGTATAAATCATACGAGAAAAACCTTGGCATTAGTCAGTAGGGTATTATCAAAAGACGAATGTATGGTGCATCTCACAAAGGAGTTTGGTCAACGTCAAACAAAAGTTCTTAACTGTGGGGTGTGAGCTGCGGGTGGGCGTGGTTCTGAAGATAAAGGTTGCTTCAAAAGTCTTCATCTTTGAGCGCAACATGAGTACTGCAATGACATATCATCTGTAAAGAGATAAGAGAGATAGAGAGATACCCGAGTGGTAGAAGACGTCGTTCACCTCAAAATCAGCTTTCCGGGGTTAGTTTTCATTTGAGAAAATCGGCTACCGCAGATGAATAGGAGAAGCCCAAGAGATCAATACATAGTTCCAAATGGCAACGGGACCGTTTTCCAGCTCCAGGGAGCTCTCTGAGTCCAACAAACTACTGACTATCACAGTAATTAACGAAGATCTATCAAACAGACCTCGAAAAGGTCCAGTGAAAGTGTCTATCATTACATACTGACCGCCCAGGATCGGAAATCGAAAATCGAGGTTCATTGCTATTTATTATGAATACGTATAAAGAAGATTTGTTCCAGCTTTGACATAAAAAANAAAAAAGATCCTGGGATCCACTGGAAGCCATGAAGTCTTCGCCCAGGAATGTCTCGGACAGTTTGAATAACAAAGTTTGCTTCCTCGTTGACAGATGTCCACCACGGGCCAGGTTTTCCTGACACCGGTTGAAATGGCTCTGCATAAAACACAAAGGTACTGGTCGCTGTCAACATGGGTTTACGACCAAACAAGGCCAATTCCAACAAACTTTACGACAGAGTACACATTACGATCAAACCTACTACGACCGGTAGTGAGCCGACGATGGATTTCACGGAACAATCCTCTACCAAACTGCTACTTTTTGTCATAACAGCCCATTTGAAATGGCTATGCGCTCGTAATGATGCAGTAGAAGAAGCGGAAATTCGAGAAAATTGCTTTAACTCTTGGGTAATTTACTGCATTCAGGACCTCACAACAAATACGCAGACAATTTTTAGTATTGATGCTTTAATAGCCTCAAATCCCTGCTCACCTGCCGATGCCTGCTGAATATACGTAAGGGAAACGTTCGGAAAGGTCTCTTGGGAGGAGAGGGGGAGTGGAGGGCACTGATCTATCCAACCACCAACTTCTGTATAAGCATCAGTGTCGTCTTGGAACAGGAGGGCTGGCACAATTTCTGTTGAAGATGGAATAAGAGCTAAGCACTGATCCGTCTCAATTCGGAATGAGCCGTACGTTCACTTTCCATACAAAATCGCAGTGACGTTTGAATGGGTACCAGGCCTCTACAAAGACTTTGAGAGGCCAGCCAGTTTACATGGCGCGACTGCAGCCCTCTCAAGATGGTTCAGCACCAAAAAACTGAATCGAAAGGTGGAAGACTTGGCTGACATGAGCAGACATCGATTCGAGATTTCATCCCCAGACAACGCATATGGGAGCCGGCGCCTATTGGCACCACTCCAAATCCAGCTCCGACACGATCCAAATAAAATAACAATGTAGTAATTGCAACAATCGATATTAGAGGAGGACAATTGATCCTACGAGATAAAACCTCACAATAACGAAACCAAACACTGTCCACATGTCCTCGGCAGAGGAGTGGTGTTTTCGAAGGGAGAGCGATCATTTGCGTGCGATCGGGATGGATCGTAGCGGGATCGCGACTGAATCACAACGGCTAAACCATGACAAATCGCCTACACACACACCAATTCCACGTCCATACTAACTCAATGCTGTCGCCAGGACAGAGATTTCTAATAGGGTCAGTTTAGGTACGCAATTAGGGCAGATTGCCCTTATAAAGGGCATAACCGAGGTAGTTTATGCATTTATGAGATAGGATATGAAGAAAGTAAAACCAAAGGTAAAAAGACGGAAAAAGTGGGGTGGAACCTTATCGACAGAAGGGAAAAGGCCAGAAGAAAAAAAAAGCAATTTACTATGTGCTACCAGACCTATCAAACTCGTTCTTCTGAGAACGAATTCAGGCCACTCCCCCACGCAAAATAGAGTCACTTTCCTTCATGGGCCCCCAGCATGAATCTATACCTTCAAACCATGAACATAAGCCTGAAAACCAATAAAATACATGGCTTTCCAGAGAGTTGGGGCTCCCATACATGGTGCCCCCGCAGGAGGACTTCCCAGACCAATGCATTTACGACCTATTGGACACACACACAAAGTGCTGATGTTTTTATAGGCAAACCAGTTCTTGCAGCTTACCACTGACTAACAACTGACTGGTATAGTCGATGACCAGCCCCTAAGAACTTTTACCATTCTGGGAACAAATATGGGACCTTTATGAACAGTCGGTCAACTGGATTCTCTCAAAATTTTTCCAGAACTGGAATTACAAGTACCACATGGGAGCGCTCATCGGCTTCCCCCTTTCCGATGCAAGATGGGATCGAGGTAACAAAAAAGACAACATAGACATTTTAAAGAAGTTCACTCTTTGTAAAGTTGCTTCCTTTACAATCGTTAGTTTTTTAAAAATTTTTTGAGAAAATGAGTCAATAACCGAAGGCCATAAATAGTGCAGTTTCGACAAGTAACAATCGTTATCATCAGAAACATGCAGTCATTCCATCTCCGCTGAAATTTACTGACCGCTAGCCTTCCCGGCTGCTGTAGCTACTGACGATAAGAGAGAATTTCATGGTATAGACAAACCGAGTGCGCCAATAAGAAAGAGTTTCTCATGACTCCAGGCAGACCAAGGCCCAAACTCAGTATGAGAAACAAAGAATATTCCCAATATTCCGCCGTGTCCGAGGTGCCGACTGAGAGGCGAACAGGCAATATACAAGTGGAAATACCTGGTTTACCTGAATTTTTCGGATTCATAGAGGAAATTGAGACAGACGCCAGATATACAGAAATGACTACTCTCAATTACCACCAAGGACAGATAAAAACACTTGTGAAGTTAGGAGAGTGAGCAAAAGGGGGTGTAACTGCACTTGAAGTAGGTAAATACACTTGCTAGCGAACGGTATCGGCAAAGTAATTTCAAGACCACTTTTTCTGCAAATGTCTACTTCCCAACCAATCTGGTGCAGAACGCCGGGCAATTGGATTGACGAATTCTGAGGACTTTCATGAGAAAGGAAGGCAGAGACAATGATGGCCTGGCTTTTTGTATGTCTCTGAGCATGCAATACCCTCTGGTATTCGATAGCAGTCCATTACGCTCCTATCGGTTTACCGATAAAATACCAGTAACAAAAACAAAGAAAATGTCAGCAGGTGGAAGAGATTCGAGCGAGATCCCTTCCATTAAAACAAAAACCTCTATAAACAGCAATGATCATGAATCGACGCCGTTCGAAACTGCAGTACCCCAAAAAAATGGTCCAAAGCCAACCAGAACAAACAAGGAGTTCACACCTCTGAAAATTCGAAAAATTCAAATAAAAAGGCCACCAGCTGAGCAGTCAAGAACGGTTTATGCAAATCGGCTACAATTTGAATCGCTGGGCCCACTAGCAGAGGGCTGTGGTGATGAAGATAAAATCAACGACGGCAATGATGACCGCGGCGGCGGCGGCGGCGACAACGAAGACGTCCTTCAGCCATTATAATAGCGTGAATGATGGCGACTTCATGACACACGAAAATGACTTTGCGAAAAACCGAAACGGCCCATTCGAGGTGTGAATGGACATAATGAGCAACATAAAGTCGATTCATCAATGCTCAAGGACATCACGGTGTGAAAGGGCTGGGGCGACAACCGTTAGATCAGCATAGATTGGATCGGAGCTCACCGGGGGGCCACGTCTGGGTACAGGCGTCACAAGGCACTCGTAGCTGAGCATATAGACGAGCACTTTCATCACCGGAAGGCTACCGCTGAGGACCCCCTTTCGTCCAAAAGGAGCAGCGGCAACTACCATCGATACCAAACCTATAAATTGGTAATCAAATTCCAGGTACTACAACAGCAAAAAAAAACCAGGTTTCGGACAAACGGCTGATCCCGGAGGACTAGGCCCTTGAATTGTCTAACCATTGGCCCATGCAAACCAGCGAGCGGAATTGGCATTCAAATACCACTGAGATTACAAATGCGAGCCATCGATCTACGTCCCAGCGCTTTATCCTCTTACTTCAAGAGCAAACCCAATACCCCTTCTTACAGATTGGCGATTTACTGCATGCTGTCACCTTAATCCCTCCACATTCTCTACTGATGTCATAACTGTGGAGACGCGTCGGTAGATAAGTTTGTGTCTAGCAACGCACGCGATCAATACCTATACTTTCTGTGGGGATATTGATGAGGTCCGCCTCATCACCGTAACTCTATACAATGCATAGATATTGATCGCTTAAGGATAATGTGCATTCGTGTCGCCAAAACTGCTTTGTCACTGTACTAATAAACTTTCTCACAATGGGAAGGCAAATTATAGATCAAAAACTCACAAATTTCTGAAAAAAAGCAAATAAGCCCTGCAAAATAAAGAAAAAGAGAATGAGGAAAAGGAATTTTGGAAATTGAGGGCCCAGCAAACGAAGAGCTCACCATTTCGAGGGCACTGAGCCCTCATTTTTGTAGATAAGTTGTCTTGACAAAGCGGAAAACGCTAGGTGGAATCCATCCTACAGAAAATACTGACGTTATACAATCTCTGTGGTCGCTGTTAATTAAGAGCTTCATTATTCCCGAAGGAGAGCTTGGACTCATGACTAATGACCTCAGCTGGGAAGGCTTTTTAATCAACTGGGACTGCTCAGTCACTTTATGCATGCATCCATTAAGGCTAGAACAATTTCTAACGGAAAATCCCCTGAGGCCATTAAGCTTTGTTTATTTCAAGGAAATTCTGGTCCGAAAGGTCCATAAAGGTGAAAAAGCTAATGCAGGCGCTTAGATCAAGGGACAACCAGAAAAGAACAAAAAGTTGATGTTAGCCTCAGAACCAAGGGAAATAGAGGAAGTCATAGCCTCTTTCTAGGGGAAGGGGAGGACAGGGTAGGTACACTCAAAGGAAAACGAAAGTGAAGAACGTGAAAGAAGGCAGAAAAGTCTTGCTCTTGGAAGGGAGAGCCCAATGAAATGACAGGGAAAATTTCAAAAATTTGCCGAAAAAAAACTGAAACGAGTCTACGGTGGATGATGAACCGATAAGAGGGGAATATACGTCACAAGAGAAAAACCCTCAGAGCCACGGCCTCTTTACAGATTCTCCAGTCGATAAAACAAGTCTCATCAGTCCGAACACAGACAGACGGAGGAAATGACTGGTTCACTGATACTTAATGGATTGGCCACCACTATACCCTTTCGAGATCTGAGGCTTTTTCCAGGCCTTCCAAGAGAATCCTAGAAAAGGGACGAAGACGTAGGAAGTGATGTACCGTATCTATGTCAGTGGCCCAGGGTAGAAAGGGTAAAAATTCTGATAGTTTGCAAAATTCACAAAAAAAACCTTGTCACCGCTGTGATGATGAAATCCTAACCGGATTCAGGAAGGAAGCGTTAATCGGCAACGGACTGTCACCTTCGCATGACAGATCCGCTCCATGAACGACTTAGGAAAACAACCGGAAGGAAAAGCGAGGAAAAAATTGGCTAGTCAGGCTAAAACCGCTTTTTCCTCACTTTTTTCACACACCTCCACAAAAAAACGATCTCAATTGTGGGGATTTCGCTGGGAACCGGATTTACGTCTACTGGAGGTAATGTTTTCAGACAGAAGATCCTCTACGCGATCTCAATTGTGGGGATTTCGCTGGGAACCGGATTTACGTCTACTGGAGGTAATGTTTTCAGACAGAAGATCCTCTACGCACTTTGAGTTCGTCGTCCAACTTGCCCGTGCCAGAACTGAACGGCTGAACTGTCAAAACACTGGGGAAAACTGTACGAAACGATACAATCTCCGAAAATATTCGGGCTATGAACGGCTAGGAAGGGAAGGTAGAAATGGGCACAAGGCTACTGAATGAATAGAGCTTCCATCACCGTCACCGATGGCTCGTCGTATTAATTCGCTAACCAAACGAGAACGAGGAGAGACAGACGAGAGCAACCGCGTTGGCTGCTGCTGCTGCTGAACAAACATACCCGCATAGTATATTTATGTGCCCACTACATGCCTATTCTCACCCGACTACAATGGGTAATCATCTTTTGGGCGAGAAAACCGCGTTACGACTATTGATTAGGAATATTGATCAGACAGCTGATATGATCAACGGTGAAAAATCGATACTACGGATCGATGACGAAGTCTTATCCATATCCTTGTGAGAATTTCAACGATTTTCGTAAACACTTCAACCTATCCCCGTTCGACCTGAATGAGGAACAATCCCCGCGAGATGGGCACGGTGCTATTACCGTCCAGAATCATTGATTAGCCAATTAAAAACAATTATAATGAGGAAATCAATATCCATTAAATTCATGCTATGCATAGAATAGAGACAGGCATCCAGTGGATTTTAAAGAGACCTTTCAACTGAATCTAGAAGGATCTCAGCCTAGTTTGGCCGTTCTGGGTGAATGGGAGGAAGTGAACTCTCACAGGTGAACCACCGATCATTCGG